GCTTTGTACGGCCGTACCCAGGTACGAGACGCGATGGTCAACTTAGGATTTGTCACAGGCTTTGTACGGCCGTACCCAGGTACGAGACGCGATGGTCAACTTAGGATTTGTCACAGGCTTTGTACGGCCGTACCCAGGTACGAGACGCGATGGTCAACTTAGGATTTGTCACAGGCTTTGCAACATACCTCACTGATTTTGGCGTGCAAGCCAAGTGACGTTTTGTCACTTGGCTTGTACGCCCGTACCCAGGTACGAGCGTACAAGCGGGCATTTTTCTATGTGACGCTCCTCTGAAACCCATACCTGTCACATACCAACCCCCCCCGCATGTACGCCCGTACCCAGGTACGGGCGTACGAGCCAAGTGACGTTTTGTCACTTGGCTTGCACGCTGGCATCACTGATGCAGCTTGTAAGGCTCAAAATTTCAATTCGACTTCAGGATTCTGACCTGGTGACCTCATCTGACTCAGGGCTATGGCTGATGCGTCCGTTGTTGCAGCCCAAAGGCAACAGGCAGAAGCACGAAAAGCTCTGGTTAGGCTAATTCCTGCCTATTAGGTTTTTTTAGCTTTTAATGTTAAATTCTATCTATTAGGTTATTTGGTGTTCTGTCTTTTAGGCTGTTTGCCTGTTTGCCTAAATAGTTTATTTAGCCGAATAACTTAAAAACATCTAAAAACTGTCTTGTTTGAGACTTTGCTTTTCTTTCGCCAAGCTAACTAAAGACACAATCTTTTTCCATATTTGTTTCCTTTGGATTTTTTTGAATTACATGTTTTTTGGCAAATAGTTTTTTCAAATGTTTCTTCATTGTTTTGTGAGTGATGTATGTCGCTTTCTTTTGATATATGCGGGTCTGAAGTGATTTTTTGTGCCAAGGTGAAGCAATGTGCTAAAGTGAATCTGTAAATTTCAGTCGGATATGTTTTAGATGGGGCAAGCCAACACAGCATGGAAGCAACAAAAACACATGTCCAAAACAATATATGAGCAAATGGGTATGTCTCAAAATGAAGTGTCCTTTTTTGACCCCAAAATGGTCACGTTGAAGGGAAACAAGGTCACCTCATTTTCAGACATACCCAAACAAGAAAAAAACATGTTTTGCAACAATGGAAATGGATAGCTTTTGGGAGCGCCAAGCCAGCACAGGATGAAAAACCAAAAACAAGAAGAACAATGACACCAACACATGCAAAAATAACAACACAAAGTAATAAATCAAAAAATGTGAAAACAGTTATCCAAAACCTAACTTGTCAGCTGCATTGTTTTTGAAACTCAGAGGAGTTCATGTGAATTCGCGGGTGCTCATTGCTCATGGGTGTTCATGCGTGTTTTTCATTTTCTTCGGCTGCCACCCATTTAGCTTACTCAGTGGGTTTCCATGCCCAAAAAAAAATCAAAGTAGTTTTTCGTCAGGTTCGCGCGCGATTTTTGGATATAAAATGGCTGCCCCGCGGCGCGCGAACCCAAGCAAAAAAACAAGTTTAGACACTTGCTGATTTGGTTGGTGGTTTTCTCTCATGCGCTGCTATTTGGCTGCAAAACCTGTGCCTTGGTGACCAGATGGAAATCCCAGAGTTCTTGGTCAGCTCGGACTCGATGGTTATTGCTTATTTTTAACATAAATTTGGGGCCAGAGAACCCCAAATCATTGGCAAAACCTGGTTTTGTAGGTTTTTTTTGAAATCACCTTGAACGTTGGCCAGTCACAGATTCATAAACAAAAACTGTCAAGACTGGAAGGTTTTCCACTTGTAAGAAAGTAGTGGCAAGCACAAAATGTTTGCAAATTGCTTGGTGAGGATTGGTTGTATTCAAGTTGTTTTTGCAAAAACTAAACGGAACAATCCAGCCAAGACTTGATCAATCACTAAGGGGGTCTCCATCACTCAAACCTTTGTACATCAAAACGCCTTCCCAAAGGTTTGCAATCACCTGGGGCTCTCCATCCTTGGCCTTTCTCCCCATTGAAAAAAACAACGAAACTACCAAACAATGCAAGTGACTTGAGGTGATCGGCATTCATGTCTTTGAGGCAAGTAAATCCAGAATTTACCCCAAAAAAAGAGAAGGGTTGTCAATCCCAGAGCCCATCCATTACTACGTTACTACGTTTTTTTCGTCAAACCTATTTGCAAGAAAATGCAATCCAACCCAGAGTTAATCAATCACTTGGGCCTTCCCATGCAAATCCATTTCCTGGAAATTAATCCAAATGTTTTGCAATGACTTGGGGCCCCCCAGTCATCAGATTCATTCACATGTGCATGGGAAAATCTCTCCCAGAAAGTGTATGGTTGAAGATTTGTTGATGGAAAAAAGTGATTGACCAACCATTTTTTGACAAAAAACATTTTAAAAAACAAGTTTTTTTAAACAAAATCAAGGTTTTTGAAGAATAAACATCATTCGTTTGAATAAAAATCAAGATTTCTCTTGAATACTTTTTTTTTGAATAAACCCAAGATTTTTTAAGATTTTCAAGGAAATGAGGTGTAAGTTTGATGCAAGTTTACATCAAACTTACACTAAACTTACACATCAAGAGTGTAAGTTTACACCAAACTTACATATCAAAAGTGTAAGTTTACATCAAATAGGTTTGACGAAAAACAACGTAGTAACGTAGTAATGGATGGGCTCTGGGATTGACAACATTTTTCCTTCTTTTTGTAAACATGAATCTGAAAACTGCAAAACCAAAAAAATACTGGCAAATTCCAGGTTTAACTGCATAGAAAATGTGAATGCTGAACACCCCAAGGCATTGTTTGTCTTTATATAGTCGGATTTTTTTGGCATAAATGTGAAGGATGGAGAGCCCCAGGTTATTGTTAATTTTTGTTTTGGTTTTCTAATATCGAGGGCTGGAGGCCCTTTAGTGATTGATCAAGTCTGGGCTGGATTGGCCGTTTAGTTTTTGCAAAAACAATTGAATACAACGAATCCTCACCAGGACTTTCTTCATATTTTTTGCCGACCATTGTTTTTGACAAATGAAAGGCCATCCAGTCTTGACACTTTGTCTTTATAAAACTACTGCTGCCCGAATTGATTTCAAAAAAGGCCCCTTCAAACCCTTGGATTGCCGATATTTCAACAAAGAAATCGGCCCAGGGCTGGGACCTCCATCTCACGTTCGTTTTGTTAAGTTCAAAGAAAGTGGATGGCAGCAAAACAAAATGACAAACAAACAAAAACACATGAACACCCATACACACGCATGAACAACCATGAACATCCATGGACACCCATGACCAGTTGAGCGCGCATGAGCACCCATGAATTCACATAAATTATTTTTTTCGAAATACAATGCAGCTGGCAAATTGCTTGTTGAACCAAATGTTTCACAGTTTTTGAGTTTCTTATTTTGGGTTGTTGGCTATGTGAGTTTTTGATTTAATTGGTTTTTCCTGAGCTGAACATTAATTCTATTTTTATGTTTTATATTTTTTTGGTTTTGTCCTGTGGTGGCTTCGCGCCCCGAAAAAAAAATGCTGATTTTTGCAAACCATGTTATTTTTTATTTCTTTATTTATTTATCCAAATTTATTAAATATATATATATATACATATGTGTGTATATATATATGTGTGTGTGTGTAAATTTGTATTTATATGTATAATTATGAATATATATATATATAAGTGTGTGTGTGTGGGGGAGGTTGTCTCAAAATGAGGTGTCCTTTTTTTCTCTCAAAGAACCCTTTTAGGAACCGAAAAAAGACACCTCGTTTTGACATGTGTTTTTTGTTTCTATCCTGTGTCGGTTTGTCCCATCCAAAATATATGTTTTCTGGTTTTCTTTTGTATGTAGTTTTTTCAGCATCATTTTATCGGAAAAATGTATCCAACCAAAAAATGTGTAGTTGGCGATTACAAAATATTTTTTGTATACAAAGAAAACGAAGTTTCTCCAAAAAAAGTAGCAATACAGGTTATTCATATAAATAACCTATAAGAAAAAACTTTTTCATATAAATAACCTAAAGAAGAAAGGTTATTTGATCATTCTGACTATTAGGTAAAGCAGTTGTTTTACCTAATCGGTAAAAACACAATGTAACTAATAGTCAGAAAACAAGATATAACCTAATAGATAGAATTTAGCCTAACCAGAGCTTTTGGGAAGATGGCGAAATCCACGAAGACCGATGTGAACTTGAAAGCACTTCTGGTGGAAGCATTAGTGAGGGATTTGACTCCTACATGGGGAAAGTCCTCGCACCCTGATATTCCTATTTATCTTGGAGCCATGCATGAATGTCATGTTTGTCATGGGGTGGTCTTTGAAGATGAGACATGCATGTGATTTCATGGTGATAGAACGTATCGGTTCGCTCATGAACATGAGTTTCTGAAATCTAATTTCATGACGTCATGACATGGCTCTGTTTTGCTTTAGGCATGGACTGCTTCAGATGAGGGAAGGTGTCAAAGTGCCCAATCGGACCAGTGGATGAACTCAAAGTACTCGCTCTCGAAGAAGACGCGAGTTCAGACTGGGGGGTCTTGCGCAATGCTGGCCCTGGGGGACACTGGTCAAAGCTTGTTCCGCACGAGTTATTCTGTCAGCAATATTTGTTCGAAATTGCTGGAAGTCAGCTTGAAAATGAAAAATCCGAGCATGTCCCACAACATGTCACTTGTGAGATTCACCAACAGTTTAGCCAGCTCATGCCTTGCAAGTGTGTCACATGGGAGTTTGCCAATGACATGTTCAATATGCTCATGAATTGTCATGTTTCAATAGGAATTTGACCATGACATGTCCAACATGCTGATGACATGCCATCATGTTTCACATGGGAGTTTGACCATGACATGTCCAACATGCCCATGACTTGCAACATGCCCCGCATATGGGTTTATGGTACCACATGTTGACCTGTTTTTTAATCATAGGCCCCCTACCATGGACATAACTTGATAAGGAAAGGGCAGTGGGCGTATGGCAGACTCGCCGGATCGAGACTGTCTTGATGAAGTGGGACGGTGTTCCAGGGAACTTGGGCCACATCATTCCCACCGAGGTGAATTCGGATCTGTGGGCTTCAGACACTAACAAGATCAAAGACCTGCAGCGGCTCAACGGTGATTCCGAGTTGGCAGCTGCGCTTCTGATAGCCTTTTGGTTCAGGAACGACAGTGACATTTGCCACTGGTTGAAGAGAGAGCTTGCCGACATCTTGTTGGAATTCTACAGCTACGGCGTGGGCTCGCAGTTCGACTTGGCAAAGTTGGGCACCACGGTTGAATTAGTTTTCCAACACTTATTGGCACCAGGGAGTTCATGTTAGTTTCTCACCTTAGCTCCTAGTTACCTAACCTACTAGTAGGTCTGGTCGAAGAGTCGAAGAGGAAGAACGGGACCGGCAAGTCATTGGACTCGGGGCGGCCGACAAGTGCCTTGTCCTAGCGAAGATGGTGGACGGCGCAATGACCGAAATGGCCCTGTCGGAGGACAAGGCGATCGAGGCCTTGTTGAGCAAAGGGAGCTACATGCGGGGATGGCACCCTGGCCTTCCCATTCACATGTCACGACATGATTGACATGGATTTGTCACTGATTGCATGCCATAACATGGTTGATCAGGTTGCCATGTTTCCATGTTGCCATGCAACCAATTGTTGTGATGATTCCGTGTTGACATGATGCCATGTGGCCATGACTCCATGTCGACATAACGTGGCCATGACTCCATGTTGACATGGTGCCATGTGGCCAAGACTCCATGTTGACATGATGCTATGTGGCCGTGACGCCATGTTGACTTAACATGGCCATGACTCCATGTTGACATGATGCCATGTGGCCATGGCTCCATGTCGACATAACGCGGCCATGACTCCATGTTGACATGGTGCCATGTGGCCATGAGTCCATGTTGACATGATGCTATGTGGCCATGACTCCATGTCGACTTAACATGGCCATGACTCCATGTTGACATGCTTGTCATCATACTGACATGCTTCATGTTGACATACTAACTGTCATGGTTTTGGGAGGTTGCATTCTGACATCTGGTGCTTTAGGAACCTCAGCACTTGCCAGCGTTACAGCAACATGGGCAGAAAGCTGAAGGAGCTTCCAGCTGTCATGGAGGCATTGAACACCATGTCCCACCGCTTTGGGTGTGGTCCCCTTGACGGAATCACCTTTGGGGGTTCACCTTGGACTCGGAGAACCAAATTCCATTCTCCATCCTGGATAAAGTCCAGGGAGAGCTGGATATAGACCTGACTGGATTGAAAATGTCCAGCACCCAGCGGGGAGCCTTGCACCGTGCTCACAGGCTCATGCGGACGACGGGATGATGCTGGCCAATTGGACAAAATTGGGCAGCCCAATTGGCCAGCCCATGCTTGCCACTCATGGAGTTTCATGTTTGTCATCCATGGAGTTTTACCATGCTTGCCATGTTAGGGACCGTGGGTATTCATGTTTGTTGGCCATGTTTCCCATGTGTGTCATGTTTGAGTCATGGTTTCGTTTACCACCATGGACTTGCATGCCTGTCATGGGTGTCCCAAATTCATGCAACATTAACATTAGCTCACTGTCCGGCCCCCGCAGGAATGCCAAAGAAGAAAGATGAGTCCCCTGATCAGCGAGACTTCAAGAAAGAAGCGAAGAAATTTGTAAAAACCTTGATGGAGGAATCGGACCCCAAAGCTTCATCGCTCCAAGATGTGAGGGAAGCTGTCCAAAAAGAGCTGTTGAAGGGAGAAGAACCCAAACATGTGGCAATGTTCAATGCCATTGTAGATTCCACCGTTTCACATTTTCACCGCAAGGATAGAGAGGCGGCCAGCTCTTCGAAACCGAAAGGAGTTGTGAAACCAATCTTCAAGAAATGAATGGTTGAACATGAGTGGGGAGCATGACCTGCTTCATGTGGAGCTTGTCATGTCATGGTCACATGAGATGGGAACATAGCATGACGTGCCATGACTCAATGACCATGGCATGTCCATGTATGACATGTCATGTCTGAACACGGGATGTCTTGCCATGACTGCGGCATCATGTCCATGTATGACATGACATGGAATTTGCATGAAAGACATGCCATGCCGGTGTCATCATACATGTCCAAGGGGGACATGGGGGGCTTTTGGGCGGGCAGGTCTGGGGGGGCTTTTCAGCATCAAAAAAGTTGTGGCATCAATTTCAACAAATTCCTTCATTATGTTAAATTACCAGAGGATAGAAAATTGGAAATCCAAAGCTGTAAAATCATCTTCCCACTCTCCTCATTGCTGAACATGGTATGGACTGTTGGACTGTGGCAATTATTCCAAATATTTCCAAATCCATGGGTGAATCATATCTAACCATCATATTTCCCTACCATCATGGCTGTAAAATGGGAATATTCCCATGACAGACCCCAAAAATTCGAGAAATTACCTGGTCACTTGGAGGCACAGGCACTTGGGATCTTTCCGATGTAGCTGAGTTTATCCTCCCATGGACGTCCATGGGACACAGGAAACATCATCGTGGTGACGGCCATTGGATCGCACGGCCAGTGGGGGCCATGAGGGGGGCCCATTGGGTGACGCTGTTTCGCCATAGCCAAAAGCCTTCCCTGGTTCTCCAATTTCTGCTCAAAGCATCCAGCTTCAGGGAAACATACACCGCCAGCATCCTTGGCCCATGATATCCCATGATATCCCATCATCCCATTGCTCTGATTTTCGACCTACACTTACATCGCCACATCTGCGGGTGCAACTCACTCTTGAAGTGAGCGGCCGGGGACATGGGCTGGACCTCCGAAAGCTGTTTAAAGGGATCTTTGCCAGAAAAAGAAACTCATGGCTGGCTATGAACCATCGTTCCCTGGATTTTCCATTCAACTCATTGACATGGGAAATTCAGCACGTTCAAGTGGGCTGGTTTGAAGACATTGTTTGCAAGCAATCAAGGTGTTGATACCGACATGAAAACCATGTGCCTGGTTATCGAGAAAGAGGTTGAAACAGTTCTGGGGGAACAACAGTATAAACGTGATAATTGTCATATGTCATATATATATATATATATTTATAATTATATAGTTATATGATACTGTCAATACAAAGAGAAGTTGGACATGTTTTAATGGAGAATCTGGGTCTGAGTGGCACGACATTTAAGGAGGGGTCCACAGTCCATGTTTGGCACGACGGGACTTGCAGTTTTGCAGGCCCCTACGTGCAATCAACGTTTACATCTGCACCACAATCCGCTTGAGTTTGGGTAAACACCTTGCCATCCTGGTGTAGATTGCCATGAAAACGAAAACCCCAAAAAACATGTCGGGACTTTTATCTACTTTCACAGCTTTTCGATATGTCCTGTTGAGGTTCCATAGGAATGGGCATTCCTGGATAGTTCCAACAAGTAGCGACGGAATATCAACCAGCAAGGAATTAATAGCGTGTATACGGTATAGATCTGAAACCAGTACACCAAAATTCCATGAATCTCCCGCTTCAAACTTCAATTCAGCCAATCTTATGTAGAGAAAGTCAAAAAACGTGCGCATGGGTTTCTTGTTGCGCAAAACAAACACGAAAACCTTGAGACTTGGGTCCCTGCAATCTTGCTGTCCAGCTTGGCCTGTAAGCCATGAACTCTGCAGTCCCAAAGAATCCAATCTTGTTCCGCCTGTTGTAGATATGACTATGACCATGTCTATCTTGATATTTTTACCAAGACCCTCCAAATACCACCAACAAAAACAGGAAGATTTTCAGTAAACGTACCAAAATGATGGGGTAAAGTAGCAAAATGATGAGCCTAAATCACCCCTTGTTATGGCTTAAAAAAGGGATGGTCAAACGGTAGGTAGCTCTCCATGCCGCGCAGGCAGGCGCGCTGTCCGTGTCGCTCTCCGAAAAAGGCTCACTGCCGGCTCAGTCCATAGGTATCAGCCTCACAGGGACCGATACTGAAGTCCGAACAGTGAAAATCCACATTGCACTCATGCTGATGGTTAACACTATACCCATAGGATCCATGGTGCTGCTATATATGGTAACATGGATCCCATCAATATATCCCCTCTATGTTAGAATATATACCATACATGGATCCTACGGGATAGTTATAACATTTGACATATCTAGTCAAAACATCACAAAAATAGAAGAACTTGAACAAATTGAACAAAATCCATGCTGACTGTGTTAAATCATGTTAAATCCATGTATTCCATGTGACATATTTCCATTGTAAACGTGCCAGAACTGGTGCTTTATCCAACTCTGGTCGTTCCTTCCATGTCGCTCCCCGGCCTCGGTGGGTCCGGTCAGCACCGGCTTTTTCGGAGCACCGGGGCTTTCGGTGAGGCCAGTGGACCTGACATGTCGCAAGTCACCAATTAGTGTTTCAATACCCATACAAGTTGGTGCCCCCCCAGTTATAACGTGGTTTATCAACCCCATTAACTATAGATATATCTACCCTAAACCATAGTTATTGGAGTTATAAACCAACTTAGCTAACTATGGGGCACCACCTTGTAGGATCCATGGGGCTGGTAGATTAATGCTAACATGACTGGGGGTATATTGATGGGATCCATGGCACACCATATATAGCATAATTACATGGATCCGTCATGGGATACTAATTTTTAGGTCTAGTTTTGGATGATTGGGGGTTACATACATCGATTTGAGGAAACCGAAAAATTAATTTTGATATAGTTGATATTCATGATGATCACATTCTCCAATTATGAAAGTTGATATGCATAATATATCTGTAATGATGAACGTTACATGGATTTCTTTTCAATATATACCAAGATAACTTAATATGCATCCCCAGTATGATATTTGATATTATTATAGATCATGGTGTGCATATATTAAAACCATGGGATGGCTGATATTATGGGATATGATGATGTGGGTATTAATATCCACAATCTGACATGAATATTAAAAAAAACAAACCAATTACTGTCAGGAATAGGGAAACTATGTTACCATGATTTTTGATTTTCATCCCCAATATGATAGTGGAGCTTGTTGTGATACGTCTGATATTTATGAGGTTCTTTATTCAATATGATGTTTCTGGGGATATAAATTTTAGATAAGATATAGATAATATAGACAATGGGATATTCTAAAGTTCATCATGAGGGCACACATGTGTGCATATATATGTATATATATATGATTAATGTTGTATCCTGATTAGTGTGGTGGGCCTCTTTTGTTTTATTGTTTTTGAAATAATTCAGACCCAGGGAAATTGATGGGGTGGGTCGGTTTTGTTTCATTTTTTTTGGGGGGGTTTTCCAGTGTTATTTTTTTTTTTTTAAATATAGTTTATATATATATATATAACATAGAATATCATAGAATGATGTGGGCGTTGTGTCCGGAATCCGACATGGTATCATGATGATATGAAGCATTCCGTCAGAAATAGGGACATTATATGTATTAATGCTATAAGATTGGAAAACACCTCGAGGGTTTATCCATGCATATCCATGCTTTAAACAAGTGGCGAGCTGAGGGGAACTGCCACGGAGCCACCACTAGGATCGAACAACTCTATGACTGTATAGATATTCTATGAGCTAATTCACCCTGAAAATCGCAGGCCTAATCATACGGCCAGCTATATTAGCTATATTAGCTATGGCCTTCCCCTTACCATCCCATATTTTGATGGCTCAAAATCGGAGGGAACATGTAACCATTGATGAAGAATCACGAGGAGAGAAACAACACGAAGCGATGGACATGAACACATATAACACATGACATATAGTTATTAAGCACACATCGATTTTAACATATGTTACCATCTGGATACCATCTGGTTATTTAACATAGACATGGAAAGATCCACCCATTTTTAGTAGGTAAACCATCTATTTCTATGGGCCATGGCTTAACCATGGCAAACTGTGAATGTCATAACCAGAGGGTATCTACTGTATAATACCGTATATTTATATATTGTTACCTATTAATAGCATGGTTTACCGTTCTTGATAGCATGGTGGATCTTTCCATGGCAAACTGTGAATGTCATGTCATAACCAGGTTGGGTAAACCCCAATTTCTAGTCATAAAAAACACCAATCATTCCATTTTTTCATGTTTTTTTTTGGGTAAATCACCATTAATCACCATTAATCACCATTAATCACCATGGTTTTTTCATGGTTTTTTTCGGAGATTTCCATGGGATTCCATCAACTGGCCGTGCCACCAACAAAAAGCATGGCAGCGGCTCCGCTCGGCGTCGAGGTGGACTCGGTTGAAAGGCCAGCCCAGCACCTAAAAGCCATGGGCCATGGTTTTTTTCGGAGGACCTGGGGAGAGAAAATCAGAGTAAAATCCCACCATTTACCCATGGGAAATGGCCCTAATCGAAATAGATGGTTGACCTATTAAAAATGGTGTATCTTTCCATCTTTCCATGGCTATGTTAAATAACCAGAGGGTATAGTTGATTGTCCCGTGAACACCTCCATTTATAGTTTTTTGTTGGTGGATGTGAAAAACTGTGGTTTTTTTTGCGAAGTCCGAATCACCACTTAAGGTAACAATCTTTTTGGATTCCTTTCTGAAACACCGAGAAAACCATGGGATGTGTGTTTCGAAACCATCGACTTCGGGTAGCCTTGATGGATCGGCTGACTTCCAACTCGTCATCCTGGGCGGCGAGGCGGAGCCCGTCATTCCTATGGAGAGAAATCGCGACCATATTTATTGGAGCAATGATTATTCATTATTGTGAACTAACAACTATCAATGGGGAAAATCATGATTTTCATGGGATTTAATGGGATTTATTAGGATATATGATATATGATGGTTGGTGGTTTTAACCCTACCCCTCTGAAAAATGATGGAGTGAAAGTCAGTTGGGATGATAACATTCCCAATATATGGAAAGTCATAAAACATGTTCCAAATTCCAAACCACCAATCAGATATTTTTTTTCAAAGCACTGACATATGCCTAAATGACATTATCAAGATTGGAATGGATTAGCAATGAACAATAATGAACATATGTGTTGGATTCGAGAACATATTTGTTAGCATTGGAATGGATTAGAGCTTGGATGGATGATCGCAATTTTCAGTCATGAAAAAAATCAGTGGTGATTTCCGGCGTTTTTTGTCATTCAAATTCCAAACAGGAAACAAAAAACACACCGTACCTATTGTTCATAATGTTCATCCGTTAGCCATGTCTTTCACCAAATCATCACTGGACTACGCTAACTACGGTGCTAATGACGATGAAGCAAACATCTTTAGATCAACGCTGCACACAGTGCTGTTCTCCTGCTCATATTTCTTGGCTACATCATGGCTACATCCACATTTCTGACAGTTGCAAGCCGTAAATATGTGGTTTTGCTTATTTTGTTTTGTACATCTGCCCTCAAAGCTACATCCACCGACTCTAACGGATGCACCAAGCTGCTAGCTTTTGCTAGCTTGCAACAGTTGGCAACCCTCTGTTTCTTCAAAACAGAACAGAATAGGACATGAAGAAGTCAAATGGGGGACAGAAAACATGGAGGATTTAGCATTAATTAGCACCATGATCCCCTGAAAGATCAGTCAGCGAATCCCAGCTCATCGTTAAGCAACAAAAACACACCATGTCATACAAGAATATATGATATCAGGTGATGAGGGAGCCCTGGTAGTTTCAGTGAGATATCTTGGTGAAATGTGGGTTGGATATTGCTAAATCCTAATGATTCTTAGTAGTTTTGATCCCAGCTAGTCTTCCTAGAGCCCCATGTCAGTTGTTCAACTCCCATTTTTATTGGACAAATCCATGTTCTGGGCAAAAATTATTTTCTTTTCAGGTTTTGCTGGTTAGTCTTCCGTTGTGTTGCTGATCTCTCCATATTTTTGTTTGCTTTCCCCTTTTTTCAGGTTGGATGACCATTTTCTGGCAGTTGGACCCTCCAAAATTTAACATGGAACCCCAAAAATTGCCCTATCGAATCGGAAAATAATCTTTCGGGACCTTATTTTTCGAGTTTCCGTGTTACAAATTACAAGCTCTGCAGTAAATCCTCGGTTTTTTTTTCTGCTGAAATTCTCGTCCAATACCTACCCCATCTCGTGTTTAAACGTCCAGCCTGTGGCGTTCGAAGCTCTGGAAAGCTGCAGGCGGGGCCGCCGAAGCGCCGGTTCCAGCCTATGGAGTACTGATAGACTGGGATAGAACGAGAATAGACCATCAATTGAGCCATGAAAAATAGCCCTATCCCATCCCGTTATACTGGCTGATTAGTATAGTTATCCCTATAATGGCTTATTATAATCCCCATTAAAGCAGATAGATCCAGATAGTGCAATCCCCATAATAACGTATCAACGTATGGTATTTGTAATGGTTCAATTACAGTATGATTGTTGAAGCCATGGAGATGTACTGTGTATGGCATACTCCACAATTCTTCAGACAATTGCCAAGTGGGGCGAGTTTGTCTCACATCGGACACGAGTTACCTGACTTTGGGGAATGTAACTCGAATGAAGGTACGAGGCCCGTCTGCCTTAGTGGGGGTTGTCTTGGGGATAGAGTGAGAGGATAGGATTTGTTCCTAGATGTGAGCCTCTCTAGACGCTTCACACAATAGTGCAGCCAATGACGGCGACAATTCACAGTTCACCAGCAACAAACAAGAGAACTTAGTACCAACAATGACAAAATTATCGTAATTCTAATTTTAAATCTCAAATACCTTTGCCAAAAACATGCTCCATGTAGACCACGGAGATCAATGGCCGAAGAACAGGATAGATCAATGGGCAATGAAATATATCGCAGTATGGTCACATATGATCCACTTCTTGGCGGTCACCAATCCATGTTCATACGGTGGATGGTTGCAAACTCCTGCACCAGTTGGTAGATCTGTTTTTTTTTTTAATCCTATACTACTCCCATGATTTTCAGGGTTTCATAAGTTTCATAGGAGGGTTTATCATGGTTTATCCTACTACTCCCATGATTTTCATAAGTTTCATAGGAATCACCAGAGTTTTGTAAAAATTGCTGGATTTCGCAATCCATCCCATGGGATTTGCTCAAAAAAGGGATGGCATGGACGACCATGTGGTCAGACACCGATCGCAACTTGACCAGGAGGCAGATCCCAGTATCCCATGAAGAACTGCTTGGTGGATGACCCACCCCTCTGAAAAATGATGGAGTGAAAGTCAATGGGTTTCGGATGCCATCCCATATAGTTATATATAGTTGGGATTATGAAAAACCCATAAATGAAATGGAACATAAAATTCATGTTTGAAACCACCAACCAGCCATGAATAATGTCAACCAGATTTTTGCAGGCCAACCGTTTGGGTTGGATCCAAAGCTATGAAATCATGAGATCTCTTTTTTGAAAAAAACAACTGATGTTTGAACAAGCCTACCATTTAACACCCAAATATTCGCCGCCCCAAATGACAATCTCTGAATTTAGGGTGGATGAACATCTATAAATCATCATAAATCCCAGCGTTTCTTTGACCCACGTTCGCACCTGTGATGGCACCGATGTAGGCCATCATCGCTTGTCGCCACACCTGGAGACATCCGAAGAATATATACTTCTTGTCTCTACATCTATATGATTCTAAATGTATATATATATATATTTATAATATTATACATGATTCTACATCTATATGATTCTAAATGTACATATTTATATGATTCTATATGATTCTAAATCTATATGATTCTAAATGTATATATTTATATGACTCTATATGATTCTACATCTATGATTCTAAATATATATATATAGGTTTCTATAAGATTCTACATCTATATGATTCTAAATGTATATATCTATATATTATTATATATTATATATATACATATTATGAAGATGTATGCCTAGACCCAATATGCCTAGACCCAACTAGCACCAACTACCAATCTGGTTTTCAATGGAATCCTCAGCAGCTTGGGGCCGGGGTCCCAACCCTGGAAGCCCCCAGGCCAGCAAGGATCAAAATGGGAGACCTCAGCCATGGAAAACAGGATGACCATGATGAACACTGATAGGAACATGTACCCTCTGGTAAACTAACATAGCTACTGAAAATCACCATTTTTAATGGGAAAATCCACTATAAATTGTCATTTTCAATAGCTATGTTAAATTACCAGAGGGTACATGTATATATGTAAATGCGAATTAAACATACAAAAAAAAACATCATAAAACACAATGTTGCCAGTCTAATGATGACAACAGAAGGACTTATATAGGATGGGGATGTTGAGACAACAGCATGACCAAAATCGAGAAATTTACCAAGCAAACATGGGGCAAACATCATTTTCTCAACGGCTAAACAGTGCCATGGTGTGCCATGTCGACGATGATCCTGCTCTCGACATGCACCAATCTGTTGATTACCCTCTGGTAAATTAACAGTTGGACCCTGGTGTTCGTCATCGGGGTTGGAAGATTAGTGAAAGCATTAAAACTAGGCTATTTTCAGGGTCCAACTGTTAATTTACCAGAGGGTAATCAACAGATCAATTCAGCTTCTCAAGATAAATTTGGCAAAAGAATCTTATGAGAGAAGCACAGCTATTCTGGGGATTGGAAATGGCATCAAGCCATCAACACAATTGAAGCACGTGCATTGTGCATTAGCACTTTCAATGTATCCCACTTGGGAACTCTGCAGATAAAATCAGAACTAGTCCCCTGTCTTTCCAGTCCAAGGGACACGCACAGAATCACTGTGAGCAAGATCACTGCGAGCACAGGAAAGATACGGGCAACCTCCCGGACAACTTTTCCGTTTTCTAGTGGGGGACTCTCCTGCTACCATCACATGCCCAAGCTCATTTGAGATCTCAAAAGGATAGTCATCCCATCTGATCCCCAACTCAAATGATAAATCACAGAGACAATCATATCTGAGCTGCCTGGCTGCCTGGCTGCAAAATAACAAGATATCGACTCAGCCAACCGCCATAAAACGAGGACACCAGGAGACTGTCTAACCAATGGCTGTGTCTAAAAGTGGAGGCCGCTCATGTGGTTCAACGGTATCTGGTGAGATCAACCCCTTCAGCGATCAACAGCATCTGTAAGCACTACTGTACAGTAAACTCAGTAAACATCATCTTTCTGGCTAAATTATGATATTTCACTAACCTGAAATAAGGCCATTTGAAGATGCTTTCCCTTAGCCATGATTCCAGGGTTCGGGAGAGTGAGGTCGTTATAATTTCCCATCTGGTTATTTAACGTAGCCATGGAAAATCACCATGTTTAATAGGTAAACCATCTATAAATGGGTCATTTTCCATGGCTATGTTAAATAACCAGATGTTACCCAGATCTTTGTTCTCAAGTCCTGTTGGCGGGTCCAGTTTCGGCTTCATTCCATCAGATCAAGAAAAGCATCCCCCATCAGCTCGCCTGCGCTAAGGCATCCGGAGCCGCTGACCATAAGGTGAGCCTGGAGCAAAAAAAAATAACAGTGGGATATCACAGGGGTTTAGAATGGATCTGTTAGTCCCTGATGATGATGATGATGATGATGATCATCATCATCATCATCTGTCAGTATTAGAATCATTATCATCATCATCATCTGTCAGTATTAGAATCATTATCATCATCATCATCATCTGTCAGTATTAGAATCATTATCATCATCATCATCTGTCAGTATTAGAATCATCATCATCATCATCATCATCATCTGTCAGTATTAGAATCATTATCATCATCATCTGTCAGTATAGAATCAGTATTAGAATCATTATCATCATCATCATCATCATCATCTGTCAGTATTAGAATCATTATCATCATCATCATCATCATCTGTCAGTATTAGAATCATTATCATCATCATCATCTGTCAGTCATTAGATCATCATTATCATCATCATCATCATCTGTCAGTATTAGAATCATCATCATCATCATCATCATCATCATCATCATCTGTCAGTATTAGAATCATTATCATCATCATCATCTGTCAGTATTAGAATCATTATCATCATCATCATCATCTGTCAGTATTAGAATCATTATTATCATCATCATCATCATCTGTCAGTATTAGAATCATTATCATCATCATCATCATCATCATCATCTGTCAGTATTAGAATCATTATCATCATCATCATCTGTCAGTATTAGAATCATTATCATCATCATCATCATCTGTCAGTATTAGAATCATTATCATCATCATCATCATCTGTCAGTATTAGAATCATTATCATCATCATCATCATCTGTCAGTATTAGAATCATTATCATCATAATCATCATCATCTGTCAGTATTAGAATCATTATCATCATCATCATCATCTGTCAGTATTAGAATCATTATCATCATCATCATATCTGGTCTGAGTATTAGAATCATTATCATCATCATCATCATCTGTCAGTATTAGAATCATTATCATCATCATCATCATCTGTCAGTATTAGAATCATTATCATCATCATCATCATCTGTCAGTATTAGAATCATTATTATCATCATCATCATCATCTGTCAGTATTAGAATCATTATCATCATCATCATCATCTGTCAGTATTAGAATCATTATCATCATCATCATCATCATCTGTCAGTATTAGAATCATTATCATCATCATCATCTGTCAGTATTAGAATCATTATCATCATCATCATCATCTGTCAGTATTAGAATCATCATCATCATCATCATCATCTGTCAGTATTAGATCATCATCATCATCATCTCAGTATTAGAATCATCATCATCATGTCAGTATCATCAGTCAATCATTCATCATCATCATCATCTGTCAGTATTAGAATCATTATCATCATCATCATCTGTCAGTATTAGAATCATTATCATCATCATCATATCAGTATTAGAATCATTATCATCATCATCATCATCATCTGTCAGTATTAGAATCATTATCATCATCATCATCATCATCTGTCAGTATTAGAATCATTATCATCATCATCATCATCTGTCAGTATTAGAATCATCATCATCATCATCATCATCTGTCAGTATTAGAATCATTATCATCATCATCATCATCATCTGTCAGTATTAGAATCATTCATCATCATCATCATCTGTCAGTATTAGAATCATTATCATCATCATCATCATCTGTCAGTATTAGAATCATTATCATCATCATCATCATCTGTCAGTATTAGAATCATTATCATCATCATCATCATCATCATCTGTCAGTATTAGAATCATTATCATCATCATCATCATCATCTGTCAGTATTAGAATCATCATCATCATCATCATCATCTGTCAGTATTAGAATCATTATCATCATCATCATCATCTGTCAGTATTAGAATCATCATCATCATCATCATCATCATCATCATCATCTGTCAGTATTAGAATCATTATCATCATCATCATCATCTGTCAGTATTAGAATCATTATCATCATCATCATCATCATCTGTCAGTATTAGAATCATTATCATCATCATCATCTGTCAGTATTAGAATCATTATCATCATCATCATCTGTCAGTAGTAGAATCATTATCATCATCATCATCATCATCTGTCAGTATTAGAATCATTATCATCATCATCATCATCTGTCAGTATTAGAATCATCATCATCATCATCATCATCATCTGTCAGTATTAGAATCATTATCATCATCATCATCATCTGTCAGTATTAGAATCATTATCATTATTAGTCTTACCATTATATATATATATACTAATATTATCAGTATTACTATCTGGATGGTGATCTCTATCTGCGCTGAGCTTTCGGGCCATGAAAAGATCAACGACAGCACCACGCCCACAGTGATCTCGGCGGAGTGGCCTCAGTTTGTGGATAACGTCAAAGATATCCCAGGGAAAATGTATAGTAAGCCCCCAACAAGGATAGAACATACATTTATGATTGATGATGATTTATCTCTGTCTTACTGTAGGCTTGGATTTTTCTATCGTTTAAAACGAGGGGTTTTTCTTTAAGGCTTGCTCGAAAAAAAACCTGGGATTGGGGTGAATTCATGCGAAAATATGTCGTTTCCAAGGACTGCAATATGGCAAAATTACACATACAATAGCATAAACTCAAATTTTCAATAAAATCTTGATTTCACGGCTTCGGCATCAGCATACAATAATCCGCTATCATTGAGAACGACCCCTTGAACAAGATGGAAATCACACCATTTCTGCCGCAAAAATGCAGGATGCCCATGATCCCAAAAACTGATAGAGGAAAATCTGAACGCCAGAATTGCATAGCAAAAAAAAACACACACAGCGAAATCCCATTGATTTCCTATCAACACTCCTCCATGATTTCGAAAATCCATGGATTTTCCCGATGTTTTCCACTCAAATCCTCTGAACTTGTCCCTTCCACAGCCATCACCACCCCAGCCCCAGCCCCACATCGTTCGATCAGCGCCAGACACAAGGCCGTGGTGCTGCGATTGCGCCGCTCCGAGTGGATCGCCGAGGGGCGGAAGAGACTGCGGAGGCGGCGAAGTCCCATGGGGAGACTGCGCCATGAGGAAAGCCAGGTGGAAAAGTGTACCCTCTGGTAATTTAACACAGCTATGGAAAATCACCATTTTTAATGGGAAGACTCAAAATTAATGGCCATTTTCAATAGCTATGTTAGTTTACCAGAGGGTAACTAGCCCAAGTTGTGGTCAGATGGATGATGACTATGATGACATATGATGACTATGTCAGATTTTAGATCTGAACTATTTTCATTAATCTGTTCGAACTGTTGATATTGATTTCCCCAAAGATATGAGATATGTCCAAACATGTCCAAACAGTTGGGGGGGATCAGTGATTGGATCTATCCAGAGGATCAGTTGAGAAACCCTCAAAGTCCCATGGTTTGAGACCTAAAATTTTCCCCAGCATTTGATGGCCACTTTGGGTAAGCCCCGTTGAGGATACACCAATGTCTTGATGGAGGTGACATGACTTGGGCTTTCCAAGTCATGGTTTCCATAAGATGGACATCTGTAAGATTTGGTGAGAAACAATGATCAACACCAGCAACTCAACGTTTGATAAGAGACTATATGATCATATTTCCACATTTATGCTTTCCTATTAAATACCCCCAATCGAAACCGAAACCCTGGCCCAGTATCGGATCTTTTCAGTTCGGGCCCAACAAAAATGGGGTTCATATTGGGGGAAAGGGATGGAAAGGGATCATCTGAAAAACTATGAGACCAATTGGAGGTTTCCCAAAATTGTGCATCGTCGTCACCATAGGTTTCAATTTCTTACGTCTACTCAGTGAGGGTCATGGTCTGACTGGATTTGAGGAAACCCCCATGACAGGATTGAATGGCAGATCGAACTATAACGTGATATGATGGAGGGAAATAAAGGGCTAACAAAGGGTGAATAGTTGCCATGCAAATTGTGACATAATAACTGGGGAGGCGTACCATCTGTAAATACATCCGGATGACATCAGCATGGTTCTTGGCTTCTACCCTCCCCTTCAGCGTGGCCTCTGCATTTCCTTTCTCTCAGCAGCTACCTGGAAGGATAGCGAGATACACGAATCGCCCGGCGCGATAGGAAGCCAGTGAAGCTTGGTATACTCCACCAAATTTGGGGTTGAAATTTGGGGGCAGAACATGAGTGCAAAACTCTGGCGGACGGATCGAAAACCTGTCCCACGAGGAACTAAGCAGCACAGTGGCCCAAACACTATGGGAATCACCATCACGGGTAGATTTGTTCTCTCAAGTCATAGATTCCTTCATCAACTGGAAATGGCCATGAACAGAATTAAAAACATACATATTACATGATATCACACATAAAGACATGTATATAATTGAATATACATAGATTTTGAGGGAAACTCATGTGGGGGATTTAATCAGAACTAGAACCTATGAAATATGAAATTCGAAGGATTTTTTCACATACAAAACTTTCTACCCCAACTTGACGGGTTCAGGGCGGTGATTTTTTCATGGTTTGGATGGAACATCCATCGACACCTATGGCTGTGAAAACCCTTGGCTTTTCCCAGGGACCTGTGCAAGTCGCTTTTGGTCTTCTTGCTCTTTCTGCAGCTGCCTGCCACGAAACCAGTGGAGATTTTTAAATTTAGCACAGGGAAATTCGGAAATGGCAAAGACAGGGGATTTTCCTGTGATTCTTTGATGATTTTTTAAATGTCTAATCATGAAATTTTCGGTGATTCCATATGATTCCATATCCCATAGGATCCATGTATGGTATATATATATATATACTAACATGACTGGGGTATATTGATGGGATCCATGTTACCATATATAGCATACATGGATCCTATTGGATATGATTCCATATGTGTATGATCGATTGTTTCACTGGCGGCATGCAGCAGTCAAATTCGGTCGACGCACTCTGGGTGGCCAACGCAGTCTGTTCGGTCTCCACACTCAGCAGGCGTTGTGTCCTTGGTGACTTTTCGATTGGGTCGGTGGATCTGTTAAAGGTGACCTTCGATGACTTAAAGGGAAGCTTCACAGGAAACCCATGGTTTTTTGAATTGTTGGTATCATGAAATGTAGGCCTTTCCGAAGTAAATTCCCTAAACCAATGGTTACCCTCTCGTAATTGAACAGTTTGCGAAAATCACCATGGAAATGATAGGTAAATTAGCGAACTAAATAAATATGCCATGTTCCAAAGCTACTATATTAATTTACCGGAGGGTAATCATTGATTGGGGGTTCCGGTGAAAATTGACCCATCATCCACAGATCTTGAGGATGTTGATGATAATTTACCAGGAAATGGGTGATGAATCATTCAAAAAAAAATGTAATTGTTGGTAAAACCCATAAGGTCATACCATATCGAAAACATTTGAAATCATACCCAAATAAGGGGTGTTCTGTCTGTTTTGGGGTTTACCGCACTGCAATCGATTTAATGTGTCTTATCTAACTATGGTTTATTCGAATAACCATTGGCTAACATCGATGTTAGTATGGAAATAGCACGACATTTACCGTTTTTTTGCAGGTATTGAAACAACATGAAACAACCACGCCATTCACTGGCAATCAAACAAGGGAATGGACCATCCCCTACAAATGTCCCATTTTCCCCGAAACTTTGTAGCGGATTTCCCAGCCATGGGTTGATTTCTTGGGAAGGCTAATCCATTGGTAAACAGTCCCAAAAAACGATGGAAAATCATCATGTTTAATGGGTAAATCAACTGTAAAGTGCCATTTTCAATAGCTATGTTAAATTACCAGAAGGTGTATATATATATATATATTAGTGATTAGTTTCATTGATATATATATATTATATATATATATATTGCCATGTCTATGGCCATTTTCAAGAAGGGAAATCCATCAGTGCTTGATATCAGACACGGCAACCGCTCGGCCACCCAACTGGCTTCGTGGAATGGATTCCTGACAGGACGACAGGGTGGGGTAGTGTTTATGCTATACAGAAGATGTATACAGAGACTATTACTATAGAATGTAGATATACTGTAGTATAATATAATAATATGTATATATCTCTATATATATATATATATAGTCATATGATATCTATAGATATCTATAGTGTATCTATAGTGTGTATTTAATTTAATGTATCTAAAGTGTATCTATAGTGTGTATATATATAGTATATATATATATTTTGTATTGCTAAAAACAAAGGAATTTGAACCCCCCCTCGGTTGGGATAAGGGTCCCCGAACTAACTTACTATGCCATCATCACATGCATAATCTGTGAACTATATCCATCTTGCTAGTGGTCGAAAACCACATTAAAAAAAAACAAAACACACATGTGGGTTTGTCCAAAAATAGGCTACCCCAATGGATCATGTTCAATATATGCCCCATTGAAATGGTCATTTGAAGGGTATATACTATATATATACATATAATTATGTATATATATATATATTAGATGATACTAGATGTATTCTATAGATACATGATACTACACCGTGTAATACCATGTAATACCTCCAATTCTCTCTGAAAGGCTGTACCTTTTCTGGACCAAAAAACACGCACGGTAGGCCTGTCGTGTGGAGTCGCGTGGCATACCTGGCATGCTGATGGAAGTCAAGTCCATCGTATCCTGCGCGGCTGTGGAAATCCAGTCGTGGATTGACCTGCTGGAAAATGATTATTTCACCAAGAAACATGGGAATTTCATGGGATTTACAGCTGATTTATAGCTGATTTATCTGATTTTATGATAGAAAAATATATTGGTTCTCAATCCGTATAGGATTGGGTTTACCACAAAAAGGTCATCCTACCTGAAGTTGTTCTCAGCAATGTGGCAGACCCAATCCCATAGGCTCCTCTAGTAAGACTAGATTTCCTGACATGGATGATGTTTATATTTGTTTATAGCAAATGTCATATATCCCTGCGGGGCGGACGTTCGCCCAAAGTTTCATTGGGGGTTTAGTTACGTTGCGATTTGTTCAGGATATATTTCAGATTGTTTTAGGGTTTGCTTAGGGTTGGTTTAGTTTTTCTTTAGGGTTTGTTTAGGGTTTATTTAGGGTTTGTTTAGTTAATTTTCGTACTATTTAGGGTTGTTTTAGGGTTTGCTCACGGTTGTTTTAGTGTCTAGGGTTATATATTTAGTTTTGATTTAGGGTTGGTTTAGGGTTTGTTTAGGGTTTATTTAGGGTTAGATTATTTTGGTGTTCTTTCAAAGTCTTGCGGTTTATTGAGGTCTCAATTAACGGCTCGAAACACTGCAAATTACGGAGGATATCTATAAGATACACTTCAAAAGGTGATTTTGGCACCGTCTCAGGTAAGCGCAAAATGCCATGAGACGCAGGTAATATCAATATTTTGAATGCTCGCAGTGTGCGAAAAACACGCATGGAAACAACACAGCAGATTGCAGTCCCGCATGGAATTCGGTGGATTTCGGGCAGACGTCAGCCCCGAAGCGATTTGTTGATAGTAAATCCGCCTTAATCACCTGATGATTTCGACAAGCCCATCTGGTTGTGTCCTGGTGTCGGAAAAAGGTGTCCCAAAAAATCGATTAATCATCAGTTTCCCCATTAAAAGACATGGGTCTGACTGAACATAAGGCAATTACACCAAATCCTTTTTTTGAACATCATTTTACCCAACGCATAAGATGTTCCATGTATCGAATAGTTGTTAAATTTTACTAATTAACCCTAAACATCCCTAAACAAAATCGTCATTATGGGAAAGATATACCATACATGGAACCTATAGAGCACTTGATTTAGCATCATTTTGGGAGTAGTTCCGCCAATTGTGGGTTAGTATTCTTAAACTTTTAGGTTTCTGACCTGGATCTGGTGATTCGTCAGAGTTTCTGACCTGGATCTCGAAGCTGTTGCTTCTCTCGTTCTTCACTCGCCTTCCAGGACCTCAAAAAGACCAACCGAGTCAGCCATAATCAGAAGATGGTGGGATCTAAATCCATGGGGAGATATTAGTTGTAGGAATATCCTCCATTTATTTAGTTTCAATACAGTTGCAGATTGTAAAATGGTGCACATATGTTGGATGCGGTATGAACCACACGAGTTGGAGCAAAACTACAGTACTATTCCATCAACATCCATTGGACCCAGGCTCAAAAGAGTCTCAGCCTGATTCTGAACAAGAAAGATCCATTCACGGCTGGTGTGTGCTTTATTCATATGCCCCAACGCATACCTGATAACCAACAGTTAACAACCATAAGCAACCATAACCAACAGTAAAACAGTTAACCATGGTCGAACAGTTAACAACAGTAAGCAAACATAACCAACCACAACCAACAGTTAACCCCCTAGCTGCCACGGTCGAAGGAAACCCTTCTTCGTTGCAACATGGTAAAATCTGATCTTTGGAACTCATCAAGGCCCCAAACAAATCCCGGCCTGAATCAGGGAGTTAAACAAAAAGAAGAGGCTCAGCCAATCTTCTTAAACCTCCGTTCGAACCCAGAAAAAATAGATAAACAAAATATAGTGTTTTACCCCATCACTTTAATACTTTTTGCATTTGTTGGGGGTCTATGGAGGGTCTTTTTGTATCTTGCATTTTGGTGCTTCACAACCCATCCACCAACCCCCAAAACCCCCTTCCTCCCCTTAGTTGCCAGGTCTCCGGACCGTTCCTGGCACTGCTGTAGAAGAAGAGGAAGCGAGTCATTGGGGCGACCTCATCCGCCAAGCGTTGAAGGCGGGAACAGGTCAAGGGTTGATGCCATTTCTGGTTGGTGGTTTTAACATTTTAACCCTCTGAAAAATGATGGAGTGAGTTCGGACCAGTTGGGATGATTCCATTCCCAACCGGATGGAAAGTCAATCCAAATTCCATGGTTCCAAACCACCAACCAGATTTTGTTTGCCCAATTTTGGGGATCGATGCTTTCCCATGTTCTTTTAGCCAGCTGAAGAGATGTTCTATCGAAAATCTGGTCCTACTCGTTTGAGAGGTAAATTTTGGAAGTGGCTATATCATTGGATTGCTTCAAGCCAAAATTTATATACATAATTTCACAGGAACCCCCGAACCCCCCTGCATTTCATGGGGGAAAAAAAACATGGAAAACCATGGTTTCTGCTCAAGATTTTCCCATCTAAACGAATCCATTGTCACCACGTCTGGCCTTGACCCGGCCTTGCTGTTTGGGGTTCCACACCAAGGTTGTCACCAGCACTACGAGACACCACAGCTGCAGCACCGCCGACTGGCAAAGGAGGCCAGTCGGCTTTGAAATCCGAATTCACCTGGATTTTCCAATGATTTTACATGAATTTATATAATGTTCTATGTTCATGGTTTAGTCTAGTAGGAGCTCTCAGAAACACCAGTACCAAGCCCATAGATTGACCAACAACTTTCAGGAGAATCTTCTCTTTCAGCTCATTGTCTCTCCAATTTCAGTAGTTGCAGAAACAAAACCAACCATGGAGGATGTTTGGGGATCGCGTATGATCTTGTTTTCGATTGGTTAAACATAAAAACAACAACACACATATGGGGGATTTAACATGATTCAATATGATTCAATTATATACAACAAAAGCCACATGTGGGGATTTGAACGTTGCTTAACGTTAATTTAACGGTGATTTCACCATCAGTGAGGATGTCGTGCCGATTTCAAGCTGCGTCCGGACTCGCAGGACGCCTGAGGGATCAATGGTCTACACAAGAAGAAGGCCAGCAGAGAAAACCTGGCCAGGCACAAGCAAATATGGACAACACATGATAAAACTGGGGATATGTTGAGTGCATAAATATTATTCCTCGCTGCAGAGAGAGTCCTCTACGTTCAACATCTCAGCCCGGGTTAGGCAGAAATGGTTGAGCTGTTGAGTGCATAAATAAAACACATGTGTGGGATGAAACAAGAGTCTTAAATGATGTCAACTGATGTCAACTGATGTCAACTGATGCCTGGGACAATCTTACCAAACAATCATCAAACATGGCGCGACATCAGGATGGAGACTCTCCATTGATCTTCCAAAACATGGTCCGATGTTTGAGATGAAGTCATGGTCATCGAAAGTAACATGACAGAATGATCAGATGATCATGAACATCATATATGATAGTGTAGTTACTACATATATATATATAATGTTACTATAATGTAGTTACTAAGACTGGTTGAACAACACTGGTTGCTGGTTGACCTATCCCTCTGAAAAAATATGAGTTCGTCAGTTGGGATCATGAGAGTCCCAATGGAAAGTCATAAAAATCCTGTTCCAAACCACCAACCAGTGATATCATGATAGATGATAATGTACGGGTATAGCATGGTATAGTAACTACAGTCTGTTTTTATTTTTTTCAGAATTAGGGGAACTCAAATCGTGGTCCATTTCTAGTGGTAGGCCATACCCAAATGGGGGTCTCAAGCCCCCAGACCCTCCAGAACAGGCTGCTGCCAGTGCCATTCGAAGGCTACAAGTGAAGACACACCTGAGACAGATCCAACATGGCCACTTGATGCTTCAGCCAGCCCAAAAAAGTCCAAGACTACCCAAACCATCCCAAACAAAGTTCAAAACTGCAATTGCAAAAGTCTAAACCTGGTTTTGGGCTGTTTTGGGGCTATCCTTCAAGCCCCAAATAAACAGCCCCATGTTTCATTCCGCAGAACAACTTCGGTTGTTGGACACAGCTGAGCTGCCAACGTCCAGGCCGCCAACATGCCCACGAAGATGGCCGCAACGTGTCCAGTCGCCACCTCGATCAATTCCGCAGGGTGATCTTGGTGTTTACCTATTAAAAATGGTGGATCTTTCCATGGCTATGTTAGTCATAACCAGAGGGTATACTTTGGTTTATGATATATAGAAGTATATAGTTACTGGAATTTTTTAAAACCAATGTCATAACTGGTTGGTGGTTTGAACCCCTCTGAAAAATGATGGAGTGAAAGTCAGTTGGGATGATGACATTCCCAACTGAATGGAAAGTCAATCCAAATTCCATGGTTCCAAACCACCAACCAGATTTGGGGATGACGACTGAAAAATCACAAGTCATCTCTGGTCGTGCAGGTTGACGTCTCACGGAACAACAACAACAACAACAACAACAACAACAACAACAACAACCAAAAAAAAATCTGGTGAAAGTGGGGATGGTGCAGGGTTTAGGGTTTACCATGTTCTGTGGGTGGAAGGTGGAAGCCTTGACCAAAAACTGAGTAAAGCCCGCCCTCCTAGATGCTTGATCCAAATCTGTGTCGCCAATTGCCAATAGTTCAATCTGATTCTTTTCTGCATAGCCAAGCCGTATTTTTGTGTGAATCAACTTTTAAACATCTTGTTTCAAGTAATTCAACCATTGTTCAACCAATGTTCAACCAATTTTGTTGGTCAACCCCCACAAAACACGTGTTTTTTGTTGAATGGCAACGTTTAACCCACAGATTGGTAAACCCAAACCAGGTGGTTAAACCCAACGGATCACAGATTGGTAAACCCATCAACTATACCAAATGGCACAAACCCACAGGAAACAAAAACGTCTTTTTGCCTCAAGGAGGTGACGTTCTTCTGCCTGGCAGTAGAACTTTTTTGAGGAAACTCTGGGGAATCACTAACGTTTTTGTTGAACAGAAGCCTCAAAACTATGGGGATATATGGGGATACAATAGCTATTGTTTATAGTTGATTAAACACTGTTGATAGATAGTTGGTACATGTTGGTACACTATTGATATACTGTCGCTTTCGTTTACCCTCTGGCACCTTACATTTTGCGATGGAAAATCAACCATGTTTATAGGTCCATCATCGAACTAACTGGGCCAACAACAAGTGGGAACCATCAATACTTGACAAGCATTAACTAACCAAAATATCGATCCAACCCAACAGCATGTTGGTAAAACTAACCAGATACAGCCGAAATATTTGATATTGATAGCCATATTAAATTACGGGTAACAACAATACTTACCTCAGAAGGTGTAATTGAATAACTTGTGATCGACAAACTATTTATAGTGTTTGATATATATATATATATATATTGTTTTTTGACCACCTTGACATGATTATTTTACAATTCCGTGGCTGTTGGTGTTTTATGGTGATCCACCCCACAAAAAAGATAGTTAGATAACCCTCGTCGTAGGAAATGACTTCTATTTTTTGGACCCCCCATAGTACGGAACGCTACAATGTGGGGGCACCCAGTTATAAGTTTGTTTATAAATACCATTAACTATAGCTATAAGTATCATAAACCTATATCATATAGTATGTCCACCAACTTACCGATTTCGTAAACGGGAGGCCAGCCCAAAACTATGGGATCATCACCCCACTAGGGATATGGCACTGGGGCTGTATGCTGTATGTTGTTTTCATCTTGGAAATTGTCATATATATATGTATATATATTTATATTTGATTTGCCCATTAAAAATTGTGATTTTCCATAGTTATGTTAGTTTACCAGAGGGTAAATTGATTGACATCGATTGAATATCTATGATTGGAGTTTTAGCAGTAGACGGGTTCTTCGTCCATTGGTGCGGTATCTACTACCGGTCTGGTTGGAATAGCTGGTGAGGCAACACATAATATTTATGGTAGCGAGAACTTGTGGTGTTGCGGTGCACAAACCATAGGATAATGACCAGCAAAAAGTAGATATACCCTCCGGTAATCAAACATAGCATGTCTTGGTCTGATTTAGGCGCAGACTTTTTGTGCTCACTTGAACCAAGGAACGCATATGTGGGCATTTACTTGTACTGACGCTGATTTCACGAGATACGCTCGGAGATGTTTAGAGGTTTTGCTTCAAAGCGCGCCAAGTGGAAAATTCCAAGAGTGGTGCTTCAAAATGCCCATTTGGAAGATTTTTTGTAGACTCAAAAGGCCATTCTCGGGTAGAGTCCATGGTTTTTGAAACAACTGAGCATTTCTGCTGGTGCTTTTCTGGTGCTCCAACGTCATCATCCCATTACCCGGTTCGTCGCGAAAACCTAAAGTTTAGCACCAAAATAAATTGTTGGGATCATCTGCCAATCTTTGTTGGATCGTGTTAGTTGAAAAAACCGTTGGCAAATGTCATCGCTGGTTGGTGGTTGACTAACCCTACCCCTCTGAAAAACATGCTAACTATAGATATATTCACATGGGATTCACATGGATTAACTATAGATATAGAATGATATCATATATAACTGATTGATGGTTGACCTACCCCTCTGAAAAATGATGGAGTGAAAGTCAGTTAGGGATGATGACATTCCCTTTTCTGAATGGAAAGTCAATCCAAATTCCATGGTTCCAAACCACCAATCAGAACAACATCAGTTTCCGCCATCAACATCCTACAAACATGTCTGGGCTATTCTCTCCATCCTTTTGTAGGCAACTGCTCGAGACAGTTTTCACGTTTCTGAGCTTTGACATTCACTTTGGCAGGTAAGGCAGGTATGTGCCCCGTCAGGCTGCTTTTGCTGGTGATACTGCCTCTGGACGTTGGAAGTATATTCACACACACACAGTGAGTCAAACTGGTGGATGTACATCTCTGATTGGAACCTTGTACATCTCCAAGTGGTGAATATATCCCAAAAAGGTTGCAAAAAAAACAATCTCCCATGATTAGTCACAACCGATCGCTTGATGATATCATGTTGGAGTCCTTCCTGTACCAACGCGTTGCGATCTTGGTTGGTTCTATGAAGATGTTTCGTTGGTTCTGTACCAAAACACTTTCCCGGGAAAGTTTCCTCGTTTAGTTTGGTCATATGTGAATGTTGGGTGGTCAAATTAAATGTGTTGCCCTGAAAGTCAAATCGCTCATTGTACCCACCGGAGTAATCCCAAATTACCCCAGGGGTAACATGACTGGGCCTTTCTGGGCGCGTAAAATCATCGTGACCCATGTTTTCTTGGTCATTAATATCCCTATTATGCTATTCCCATAGGATCCATGGTGCTGCTATATATGGTAACATGGATCCCATCAATATACCCCCTTTATGTTAGCATATATACCAGCACCATGGATCCTATGGGTTATGCTATTTGTATCAGTAAAGCTCCAGGATTATGTCGGTCATTCGCGGATGGGTCAAAACCTTTAGGAACACCAGGTGAAAACCATGGGGAAATCACCATCCATTCACCAACGGCCAGGGCCGTAGCTGACCCAGCCGGGTCAGCTTCCCCAGCCGTGGCCATATCCCTTAAAGATCGGTGGCATCCTGGAGACCTCACCTCACTAAGACTCGAATCTTCGAAAGCCAACCATGCTCTGGAACTCCATGGAGCCATTTTCCTGGCACCAAATGATCCATAGATCGGATGTCTTTTTGGGATATTTGAGCTATTTAAACCGTTATTTTTTATGGTGATAAAAAGGGATTCTCATTCCAGAAATCAGACATGTGGATATAATGGGGATGTAAATATAGGGATCTATGACAGGTATGACAGGATCTACAAGTAACAATATGATGTTGTGTCTGAAATTGGTCGATTACCAATGTAGGTGCAGTGATTAACCACTGAATCTCGGGGTGCCTTCTGCGATTTCACAGCATGTTTCTAGCGATTTGACTCTTTGGATGTTTCCTTTCATGGCTGCTCTTTTGGGATGTGGCTATACCATACCACAGACCATTCAAGTCACAAAGATCTTATGGCTACTGGCACCGCTATGGTCGAAGAGCTCATATTATTATTATATATTATTATATATATATATATCATACGTGTGTATGTGTATATATATATAATTATATAAATATATGGCAGCTTCAATTAAATATACGGATTTTTAAATATACGAACTGGTATTTTAGACAACCTCCGGGAAGCTTTTCCTTGGCCCGGCCATTTAAACATACCGGATTCCAATTTCTTTACACATACGTTTAAATATACGGATGGAACTGGTGTTTCATACTACCTCCGGTGCCGGGGTTGATTCGATTCCCCTTACATCCAGTGAGATCACTGGTACGTGAGGTCATAGTCATCCATGAAGATGTCCGAAATGTCATGGGAGAAAACTTCCAAATCATCCATACTATCTACATATACACACACCCTCTGGTAATTTGTTACAGAGCTATTGAACATGGCAATTTACAGTTGATTTACCCATTAATAGCATGGTGATTTTCCATCGTTATCTTAGTTTAACAGAGGGTGTATATCCATTTCATATATGTTCATATGGATCCATGAAATCAACCGTCCAGCTATTGCAATTCTTGAAATACCCCCATGCATCTCCCCACCAAGCCCTCACCCAAGGCCGTAACCTGAGCCTCAGGTAGCGTTGCCAGCCTGTGTCAGCGATACTATGAGACCCGGATCGAGGTATGCAAGATTAACCGTTGGCAAAAATAGGATTCACCAACAGCAAAAATGGTGGTATGATGTTATACTGGTTGGTGGTTGACCTACCCGTCTGAAAAATATGAAAGTCAGTTGGGATTATGACATTCCCAAAAAACAAAGGGAAAAATAAAATTCATGTTCCAAACCACCAACCAGTATATATTAGATAATCAAACATAGCCATGGACAATCTTCTATGTGTAGATGATTTTCCGAATTTCCCGGCAAGACCTCCATTCATAGTGGATTTTCAATTGCCATCTTTGATTACCGGAGGGCCGGAGGGAATATTTCTTGTACCCCCTTTGGCAATCAAACAATGGCCTGTTTGAAGATGATTTACCTATTATTTCAATGGTATTTTTCGCAGTGGCTATCCTAGATAGTCTTAGATTATTGGAGAGTATCCAAATGCAGAAAAAATGGCTGGCAAACCATGGCACAAAACACATTTTGTCATTTGCCAATTGCCTATAGTACTATAGATTACTCAAATGGTGGTTGATGGGGAAAATACATAATGCTAAGAACAAAACAAAATTCCCCAAACAGATTCCCTAGTTATAACTAGGTTATAACCCTAGCCATGGTGGATTCTCTATAAATTCCCTATGGATTCCCTATGGTTTTCCTATGAATTCCCTGAAAAACAAAGCGGTCGTTTTCCGCAACGCCGCCCAAGCCGCTGATCGCCTGTGACCAGCTCCGAAGTTGTCAGGTCGTTTTTCAAGACCCGTAGCCGCGCCACGGTGCCCGCGAGATCTGGGGACAAAGACCAGCCGAGAACGGGATAGCTTGGGGATATCATACCATCTAATCATAATAGGGATATATATATATAATTATATATATATATTATATATACATATGTTATTATATATCATAAATCATATATATATATATATATATAATGGCTGAAATATAAACTAACTCCACTAACCTTCAATAGCTGTTATCATACGGCCAATTGAGGAATGCGTTCCCTTACACCATTATTTCAGTGGCACGACGTGAGGTCATGAAAAAAATCATAGCATACAATGGAAAATCTCATGGTCGGTCCTGTTCTTCCCCATGTTTTCTTCAAATTTCCATATCTTTCTTGCAAGGATTTGTACGGTTATAGTAATATAGCTTTTTTATGGGGATGGGTCAAAACCCTATCCCCCTGGTGAACCCCAAAATAGCTGGTAAATGGATGTTCATCCCACTAAAAATGTATCTATAGGTATTGACCCATACCCATATACCATCCTTATTGGAAACACTTGCCTTTTTCGAAGGTGAAACCCCAATTTGCGCCCGAGAGTACCAGGCGCGCCTCCACTGGGTGAGCGCCAGAAATACTGAACGCAGCGCCGGTTTATTGGGCAATGAAATGCTGGGTTTCCAATCCCCCTTTCGCAGAGATCTTCTTGCATATACATAAGTATATATATATTTTTTTAATTTATATATATATAATTTCTATATACACACTATGTAGTAATCCCTTCCCCCTATTACTAAACCCCCCAAAAAAATAAAAACTAGGGTCCATCTCCAATTTTGGAAAATTTCAGAATGGCCAATTTGACTTTTAATTGATCCCCTTTAGACAACAATTTAAAAGTAAAGCTACCATTTGTGGGTTTCGCCCCCTGATAATAAAAACTAGTCAACCCCGGGGTGTTTATTATTGGGGTCCGTCCGAAAATTGTTAGTTTTTGACATTAGGTTTTAAAATTATTATTAGGTCCCGCTTCGAAAACCAATTTTTGGCAATATTTTAATTGCGTTATAAAAGGAAAATTAATTGATTTTGAAATCGAAAAAATAGTTTTTATTATTAAGGTTCTGAATTTATGAATAGGGTCCGCTTCGAAATCCAATTCTTGGCAATATTTTAATTGCGTTATAAAAGAAAATTTAACTGATTTTGAAATCGGAAAAAATAGTTTTTATTATTAAGGTTTTAAATTTCTTAATAGGGTTCCCTAATAATAAATATACCCCCCTAATAATAAAAACTACCTGAAGTGTTTATTATTTGGAGGGGTTAGTATTAGGGGGAAGGGATTAGTATATACAACATATAGTGGACATCAACTGTATCTCAATGACGATCAGAAATCATGGAAGCTCATCCCAGCCGTCCTTCTCCTTGCTGTCCACAGCAAAAGTCTCCAAGCGATCTGGAAAATCGGTCAGCCTGGAACCGCAACGGCTTCCCCAACAGCTTCCCCAGGGGGGTGAACCCCCAGGGATGTGGATGTCATGGTGAACCAGCGATCGAAATCCAGCTGGGTCATGCCAACTCGATGTGGAAAATCTGGCGATCTTCTGGAACAAAAATGAAGGAAGTGTCCGAAGAGTCTCATGTTGAAAGATGGCAATAGGAAGTTTGTTTCACAGCAAACCACCACGACACTCAAAGAACGTTTTATTCTGACTCAACTTTTCCGGTGCCACATATCCGGTTCTGGATACATCCAAAGTTCTGGGTAGGAAGGCTGGATTAGGACAGGATCAGGGCATCGATTGGATGGATGTTGAATTCTATTTTCTGGATGTGACCTTCCATTTTTGAATTCAGATGGAAAACTCCAATTTGCAGCTTTTATCTCTTAGTTGAGTCCCCAAAATATTGACATAACTCCATTGACATAACTCTATCTTCCTAGAAACATAGTAATCCAATCATATGTAATAGATAATCCATTGGCCAGATCTTCCTCTATATTGACATAACTCCATTACACTAATCCAACGTGCCGTTTTGCCCACCACAACTCCACCACTCCAAATCCAGATGGTTGATCAATGCTGATCATATTTTTCCTGTGGGGTGGGACATATGTATATATATATATATGTATATATATATATTATAAATTATTAAAATACATATGTTATGTTATGCTATGCCATGTTATGTTATGTTCTGTTCTGTTACGTTATGATATGTTCTGTTCTGTTATGTTATGTTATGTTATGTATGTTATGTATGTATGTATGTATGTTTATATATATATATATTTATCCATCATCTTTAGACAAAGCCATATCTCCACAGCACCGGTGCCCTTTCTCTTTGCATCCGCACGCCACGGGAAACCTCTCCCCACGGCTCTCCAGCCATTGCCTTGAGTGTCTCAGGTGCCAGGATGGCACCACATTTGAAGAATGGCCAGGGCCTAGTGTAGAAAAAACTATGGTTATTGACACTATGGTTATTAACTATGGTTATAACTGATACAACATTAATATTTAATTAATGTTGGGCTTTTTAAAACTCATCCCATCTCCTGCCATTTTTGCTAGAATAGCCGGGCTGATTTCCGGATTCCTTCTCTGCGTGTGGTCAAGCCATCTCCGAAATACCGGTCAATGCAAATCACCAAATGTGTTCAGATCCAATAGCCGACACTCAAGCCACATTTCAAAGCCTTCAACCAACAATGAATGTTCAGGTGACCTGCAATCTATTGTTGATTCATGGGTGAACATTGTTGGTTGATGTCCATCAAATGACCAACAATGAAACATGCACAAAGGATTTTAAGATGGTTTTTCCAGGCCAAGTACAAAGGTGACCTGCAATCTCTAGGCTCCGGCGCCGCCAAATGCTTTATTTTGCTTTTAGGCGATGGTAAACCACAGGTCATTGGGGATGGTTTCCGTATTGGATTTACCCTCTGGTAATTTAACATAGCTATTGAAAATGGCCATAGAAATAGTAAGTTTTCCCATTAAAAATGGTTATTTTCCATAGTTCTGTAAACGTTTACCAGAGGGTACCACATGTTGCCCAAATCCATTGATTAATCATCATTCTTCCTATTGTGAAAAACGGCCATGAGTGCCAAAAAAAAACATCTGTGGAGAAGCAATTGAGTGGTAGTGCCCCTGTAATTGTATTTTGGAAGTACAGATGATTGGGTAAGCTTACTAAAGTTACTATTGTTGGGAATGGCTACTAATTAAAAAAATCTTAATTCATGTGGTAAGCCCAAAATTAAAGTGAAACCATCCGAAACAGGGGCATAGCCAAGAATAATTATCGGTTCGGCTTGGTAAACATTATCGGGTTTACCACATGGCTACTACTGATGGCTACAAGTGAGTACTGCGGATTGATGAACTACCTTCTGGTTATTAAACGTAGCTATGAGACATGAACCATTTATACATGATGTATAGATGATAAACATTATGATTTATATTATAGAAGATTTATAGATGATTTCTATATGATTCGTGATTATGTACGATGGTAAACATGCTGAATTATAGATGATTATGCTGATTTACATTTATAAAAATGATGATTTATACATGATAAACCAGATCAACAACAAAACAGTGAACATCTTCGACTTTTCCCTGTCTCCTCAACCTTGGGCGAGGCACTGAAAATCTAGGGCGAAACACCGGCGCGAGATGATCCTTGGTGCAGTTCCGACTTCAACCGTTCTGTGGATGGTTGTGAAATCCTATAAATAATGGTATAAACTCTATAAACAATGGGTTGATAGGAGGTTTATAGGAGGTAAACATCTCATGATTCAAAAAGGCTTTCAACCATCCAAGCTGGTGGTGCAGGATTTCCGAACCACCATACTTCAAGTTGTAACAACTTAACAACAACCAAAAGATGGGGAGAATCATTCGGAACGAGTTTCTCCAAACATGGGTATATCACCCATAGGATCCATGTATGGTATATATGCTAACATTTGGGGTATATTGATGGTAAATGCTACCATATATAACATACATGGATCCTATGGGTCATGGTAGACCCCCAACAAAAATTGCAAAAAAATCATGGGGCGATGAGAAATCACTGGACTGGATCCGGAGGAAACCAATTTTTCAACCCACCCTTAGGGCAAAAGCTGTTTGAAACCATCAACGAGCAACATAAGGCAAAAATGGAGATGGTTTATTATCGCTTACCACAAGCAATAAGATTCTTGCAACAGAGATGGTACCTATCTCAGAGGTGCTCCCAGACCCCTAGTCACGTAGTGGGTTTTCCAAGATTTGGTTTTGGAACACATGGTTCATATAGAGATACCGTTGTAATCTATAATATTAATATTCATATTAGTATTAATATATATATATATATATTAATATTAATATTAATATATTATATATATATATTAATATTAATATTAATATATATATATATATATATGGTCAGAGACATCTATGCAGCATGAATAATGTACATATATATATATGGATATTGAGTACAAAGGAAAATCATCAACTGTCGCCGTCAGAATTTGAGACGTGAGTGCATATGAATGATTTTTTTGATGGCCACATGAGATGTCTGCTTCCGCGTCTTTTTCTGCTTTCACTCATGGTTTCGTACATGTGTTCCATGTTTATACTTGGACCATCTTGGACCGCCATGTCTTAAGGGCGGCGTACTTAAGGCGGTTAGACCCTCCCCCTCATGAGTATCCAGTCCGAGAGCTTTGTTTCTGATTGATTTTTTCTAAGAGAAAGAACAGTTTCGGACTCCATTTGGATGTGGGAGGGGCTCAAGGCACCTTAAGTACGCCGTACTTAGTGACATGTCATTTTTCCGTGGGAGGGGCTCAAAGCACCTTAAGTACGCCGTACTTAGTGACATGTCATTTTTCTGTGGGAGGGGCTCAAGGCACCTTAAGTACGCCGTACTTAGTGACATGTCATTTTTCCGTGGGAGGGGCTCAAAGCACCTTAAGTACGCCGTACTTAGTGACATGTCATTTTTCTGTGGGAGGGGCTCAAGGCACCTTAAGTACGCCGTACTTAGTGACATGTCATTTTTCCGTGGTAGGGGCTCAAAGCACCTTAAGTACGCCGTACTTAGTGACATGTCATTTTTCTGTGGGAGGGGCTCAAGGCACCTTAAGTACGCCGTACTTAGTGACATGTCATTTTTCTGTGGGAGGGGCTCAAAGCACCATTTTTTCTGTGGGAGGGGCTCAAAGCACCATTTTTTCTGTGGGAGGGGCTCAAGGCACCTTAAGTACGCCGTACTTAGTGACATGTCATTTTTCTGTGGGAGGGGCTCAAAGCACCTTAAGTACGCCGTACTTGGTGACATGTCATTTTTCTGTGGGAGGGGCTCAAGGCACCTTAAGTACGCCGTACTTAGTGACATGTCATTTTTCTGTGGGAGGGGCTCAAGGCACCTTAAGTACGCCGTACTTAGTGACATGTCATTTTTCTGTGGGAGGGGCTCAAGGCACCTTAAGTACGCCGTACTTAGTGACATGTCATTTTTCTGTGGGAGGGGCTCAAAGCACCATTTTTTCTGTGGGAGGGGCTCAAAGCACCATTTTTTCTGTGGGAGGGGCTCAAAGCACCATTTTTTCTGTGGGAGGGGCTCAAGGCACCTTAAGTACGCCGTACTTAGTGACATGTCATTTTTCTGTGGGAGGGGCTCAAGGCACCTTAAGTACGCCGTACTTAGTGACATGTCATGTTTCTGTGGGCAGGACTCAAGGCATCTTAAGTACGCCTCTACTTAAGTACGCCTCTACTTGACTTCATATCTAATTTCCAGAAACCCCCTATGTGATCATCATATTGGCTATGAAGCTTGGAGCAGCCCCGTATCTTTTTTACCATAACCAATGAGATTCAATCGCAACAGAGATCAACATGTAGAGTTTTGTGGCACCACGTTGAGGACAGTTTCCCAGCACATCCTCCCAGATCTGTGGAATTGAAGGACGTCAAATGGACAGTTGATTGTGGACTACAGGAATAGCAATGGCCCAAAAAAAAAAGCTGCTTTCTCAGTATTTTCAGGGGGAACCATGACCTATATGACCTTACCAAAATGACGACGTTGTGACGTTGTGTTCAACGAGGAAAACGCCATCAGCCCCAAGGGGCCCCAAGTTCTTCCGGTGGAGCCCCGGCCCCACGTGCGGCCCATGATGCCATGGCCGAGCAGCTCAAATTCTGGCGGCGTTGCCAAACAGGTTCTCAGCAACTCACGCTGTGCCTGCGGATGGAATCTGCCCAAGGCTCGTTCCCTTTGAGGGATCTTTGACAGCACGAAAGACCTACTGTGTATATATATATATAATAATAATAAGAAGAATAATAATAACAATAATAATATGATATGATATATATATATACAGTTACTTATCATCACATCCCCATAAGATGCGATTTCGTCCCCTACATGTTATTCCTTTTTACGTCTTTTTACCACGGCTTCTGCAGGGGTATTTAATATGAACGGGGGGACCCTTGGACCAGTGAAGCTTTCCAGACCTGGATGTTGGTTGAAATATCTGCCTAGGCCCATGTTGTTTTTACCCATCCAACAATTTTTGTTTGTAGCCCATCAGTTTAGTACTCATAACTTATACCACTTTTTGGGTGGTATTTGGAGGATCCTTTTTTGGGGATTCCAAACATCGACCGGGCAGTTTTGGTCACCAAGCATCAACTTATCAGCCAGTTTCTCGGCGCTGATTTTTTGCTTCGCTGACAGGTCCTTCTTTGAGAATCCGTCAAACCAGATTTCTGACAGCCTCTCCAGACTTCATAGAAACACATCGGCCACGTTGAAATCAAATCCAACTGTGATGTTTCATGATGTTTCTATATTCTAAGCTTTCAGCAAACCAATGAACCACATTCCCATGGATCAGTGTCCTTGTGGATAAAGGAACAGAAGCCTTCCACTACTCGCCACACGGGCCAGAGATCTACCAGGCCGAGCTGGTCAGCTGTGATAAGCTGCAGCAAGTCATGGAGGTTTCCAAGTCATGGGGGTACCCCGACAGATCGCTGGATGGTTTATTTCATGGAAAATCCTACGATTAGCATTATTAGAAATGATAAATGGATATAAATGGATATAAATGGATATAAATGGATATATATATATATATATAAATGGATGATTTGGGGGTACCCCTATTTTAGGAAACCTCCAAATGTGTAGCTTCAAAACAGGAGTTCTTGTTTGAAGACGGACGCGTGAGATTCAAGGAATTCCTGGAAGGACGGCTTTTTCTCAGATGGGTCCACCAAATGCTCAAAAATTCCTGAGCCGCCGATTGCCCAAAGCGGCCGAAACCTTGCAAACCTAGGGCGAATTGATAGAAGAGGTAAATTGAAAGTGCATAACAGCCTGCACTTCCAAGCCTGCAAGTTGCAGGGTTGTTTTCAAGTACCCACTGGGTAATTTTCCATATGGTATAGATGGTCCATTGGTAGATGATTTACTCATCAAAACACACTATATAATATATTTTCCAGTTTGCAAAAGTCTTAGTCATTACCAGAGGGTAAACATCATGAAACAGTTCGCATTTGACTGCTGCTGAGACTCCAAGAGCAAATCTTCTCAACCTCAAACGTATCAACTGGAGCTTCCTACGTCCTCACTGGATCTCATGAAAAACTGTATTCAACTGTTTTGGGCCCCAAATAGTTGTTGGATCTTAGTAGCATGTCAACACGAACTACTTTGCGCTTTTAATTTCCCTTGCTCAAGTCATAGTATTCAGTAAGCTAACACAAGCCACTAAGGTCGTGTTAAGTTGCCCAGAAGCATATGCTCCATGCATGGTATGTATGTACCGTACCATGTTTTGTTTGGGGTATTGCCGGTATATATCTGGTTTTGAGGCATGAACGTGTCATGTTTGGAGACTTTAGGATAGACATGGATTTCAATGTGGATGTTAGTTTCATTCCGGTCCAAAGTCTTGCAAAGACTGTCATGTTTACTGACTTCAGCTGCTTTCAAAGGAGAAAAACAAAACGCAACCGCAAAACCAACGGGAGACTTGTGGCCATCGCAACAGAACAAGATCCTACTGATATCAACATGATTCAACATGATTTTAATGGTGATGTTCCATAGTTATATGAGTTATATGCCATTAACCATAGGAGATTAACATTAACACATGTTTATTCTTGCAGGCCTACGACCCATTCGCAGCGGACCTTTCCGGTGTTCATGGTGTGCCAATTCGGGTTGGGAAATGGGCGTGGTGCTTATTAACCTTGGCCCAACCTCTGGTAATCCTTAATATAGTATCTAATGGTTAATGTTAATATCACATGGTTAATGGCACATTAATATCCTATGGTTAATGGAATATAACTCATATAACTATGGGACATCACCATTAAAATCATGGGTAAATTATTGAACTACAGTAAACAGGCCGTCTATACTATAGCAAATTGATAATTTACCAGAGCGTATCCCTACTTGTAGAAGAGTCAGCATTGCAGTTGCTACGTTGAGTTAAAACCATCATGTCCCCTGGAAAAAAAAACGGGATTATCGCCAGACTATCTGGGTCAAGAAACGCCGAAACGCCGTTTTTTTACACCCCAAGCGTTGGGTGATTTGGGCGATTTGGGCGAACATGATCTGGTTGGTTCCCAGCATTTCCCAGCGTCACTGCCTCAAGTTTAATTTCTAGTGGTGATGTATATATCCCAAAAAGTATATAAACTACCATTATCCCAAAAAGTGCCTAAACGTCCAGTGGATGGAATTGGTTCTTGTCCCCTGACATGGAGAATCCCTGAAACGGGGGTAACCCCCAAATCATCCATGTTCTTTTGGGATTTTCCATCAATAAAAAACTATCCAGATATTGTGGTACTTCCATGACTATGGAAACCTCCAATTTTTTCAGCTCCATCCGAAGCCGAGAAACTCTTCCGCTGCCTCCAAATTGGTCTCCAGACCCAGCTCGCCCAAGCAGTACATCTCTGCCAAGTGCCTCGACAGGTGTCTCTGAACATGGTGTATATCCTCGAAAGGGACATTTCGCAGGGACAATGATTTAGGGCTTTCCTAAAAATGGAGGTCCCCCTTTATCGCTGGATGGTTTTTGTTAGGGAAAATCTTAGCTCTAAATGGATGATAACTGGGGGTACTACCCTATTTCACGAAATTTCGGGTAACCAATTTTCAGACGAAGCCATAAAACGATGCGATGAAACAAACAAGTGTAGTTTAGCCAACAAAGATTCGGTGATTTCATGGGGAAAGAATAGGGATATACTATGGAATACTAGAAAAAAATATGTCATTGAATATCATACTATGGAATCTTAGTGGTTTACTAATCCCAATATTGGTGAAATAATTTCCCTCCGGAAAATTTAACAGCTTGCTATGGAAAATTGCCATTAGTGTCATTTACTTCAATGATTTACCTATTGAAAGTTGTGATTTTTCCAGTTCACGATGTGAAATTACTAGTGAAATGGATGTTCTCTAGCCTTCATGATCATGATCACCTGCATACTGCATGCAGCATGGCGAAACGAAACATGGAACATCGGGAACATCGGGAACATCACCTATAAATGTGGTGATTTGCATTGCTGTTCCCATGGGTTGATAAATACACCATGGGTCGTCCCCTGAAAACAACCAATAGGTTGGCGGCCAGCCCCTTTTTTGTTTTCCAGAAAGACATTGGTAGGCTATATCGCTATATCCCTACTTACACGTGGTTATATCAGTTATATTCCCACTCAAACTTACATGTTGCTGGGAACAAAAAAATCATTTAGTTGTTACCTGCACAAAAACACTCTCTATTTTACATATCCAAAAGGGCATGTTTGGTACAGGTACCACTTACCACCAACAATGGGCAAATAAAACACCCCAACATTCCAAAACAAACCTTGTTTGATCCATGTTCATAGGATGGTAATATGAACCCAGTATATAGTCATGAATTCTGAAAACAATGGGCTAATTTCCCCCCAAAATAGTGATAAAAAATACTATCGGTCCGAAGCAACATGAACTTTATGGGATCAACATTCAAGTGAGTTCTGAGGGAAATCATCCCAGGGGCCCCCTTGATTTTCAATTTTTGAGCGATTTCTGTTGTGATTTTCGCAAAGCCAAAATCATGAAAATCATCCCCTTCAGCCCATGTGGACATCCGCTGCTTTGCCGGGTCAATTTGTCTATGTCATGAAATCACCAGAGGAATGCAGTCAAACAGAAGATGGTTGATTTGTTGTATACGGCTAGGCCTTAGCTAGGGATATAATTGATATAATGAATCCAATCCCTAAAATCATGGAAAACCAAGGAGTTTTCACGTGGATCCAATAGAATTTTGTTTTATATAGGAAGTACCCACTGGCAAAACAGAACGAACTGGAAACATCACAAAGTTTAATAGGTAAGTCATCATCAATGCTATTCCATAGCAAACTGTGAAATAACCAGAAGTTAATAGAACTTAGTTTTCATATTCCATGAATATCTCAGTGATATTCCATCTTATATCCGATATTCAATTCATATCCCACTCATATTCCATATCATATCTCATGACCTCGCTTTCAAGGCACATGCACGCCAGCGGATGGCCCTTCCTGCCAGTGGCACGCAGCCACTCCACGGCCCCAGGATCCTTCTCGCGTCGCAAGCACAAGGCAAACTCCAGCATGGCTTGTGGGTCGTCCTGGCAAGGCGAAAGAATGAGATGTGGGATAGAATGTTCCCACTATTAGTTTTCTTATACATATCACATCATGTTATATGTCATATCTAAAAACCGATTTAATAGGTAAAATAAAGATAAATATATAAATACATATAGGTTGGATTACCTGTTGCGATGTAAATAGATAAATACATAAAGAAAAATAGGTATTAGATGTACCTTTTGCGATGTCTGCATTTATGTTGGATTCTACATCTTCTATGCATTTCGGTCCTTCTTTTTCGCCTCAATCTCCAGCGCAATGCGCTCCCGGTGACCACCAGTGGGTGCCCAGGCCGCACCTTTGCCACAACGCAAGACGTCGAGCAGGCGCCAACGACCAGCAAGGCTGTGGTGGAGGCTATAGGTGGAACCGTGGTTCGTGTTCTGCGGCTTCTGCCAGGTCCTGAAAAAATTCACAGAAGATCAACAACAAACACATCATAACACATCTATCTAGGGTGCATAACACATCTATAACATGGATAACATTGGGTAG